AAAAATTTTACTATGTAAACCCTCTAAAAACCCTTCTCATCCTCCTTTTTTTTGAAATGAAGATGTAATCAAATTGGTCTGACTTTACTTTAAATCTATACTTTATTGCAAAAAGACTATCATATGTTTTGAAGCCATCAACCTGAAATTTTATAATTTTGTATTTTGTTTATTGATTCTCAATTCAAATTATTTGATTAATATTCTTGAAAATATATAAAACTTAAAATTATTATTTATGTTTAAATCATAAAGAAACAAAATATTATATACAAATAAAATTATTGATTTGAACCAGTTAATAAATAAAGATCCTCAAAATTATTTCTTTATTGCAAAGTCTTCAAATTACATATAATGATGGCAGTATTGCAATTATTTAATATCCCAGCCAAAGATGATAAATATTCATCTCATCAAATTTGATAGTGCACATGTATTTTTCTATTTAATATTCTTTCAGATGTGTTTATTTTCTGTATCAAAATTCATATTTACTTTTTTATTTTCTTTTTATTAGCAACCTATTATTTCTTTCTTTTTGGTTTTCTTTTCTTTTCCTTTTATTTCTTTTCTATTTTAATTTCTAATTCTATCTACTATACAGTATATATCTATACAGTATATATTATCTATATTTTTGAAAAAAAAAATTTAATTAGAAAAAAATTAATTCTGAGACAAATTCACTAAATAAAAAAAAAGTCGCAAAAATAATACAGTTTATTAAAAACTCAGTTTGTTCTCTAATGGCATCTTGATGCTATAGAAGAATGAAATGAGTTTGAAATTATTATTAATATGGCTTTTTTGTATTAAATAAAAGAGTTATTGATCACAGAATAATGTTAATTAAAGTATCAAATTAGTGTCTTCATTGGGTTAGTTTAATGTTACATAAACCATTAATAATATTCTCTCAATTGAGCAGTTATAGTAACAATATAATATTATATTATTATTAATTGAAAATAAGATTAATAGGCAATTTAATATCTTTGAGATTCATTATCGCAGAAATCATGAAGTCATATCTTTTTCTAAATTCTTTTAATTTCACAATCTTAATTTATAACTCTGAAAGTTTACAATCATAATTCTATAATTTATAATCTTGACAATTTATAATTTATTCTTAACAAATACATCAGAAGGTACGATTATACATTTTGACAATAACCAGTTAGAAAAATACATAAATACATTTTATCCGAATGACTTATTCTGACACTGACTTTAAAAATAATAAAAATTAATTTATTAATAACTAATAGTTCTAATTAATAGATAACCGAGATGTATTATATGTTGAAATAAATGCAAACATTCTACTACTAATTTCTTCATATTCTTCTTTTCATTCATCATTATAAATGTTCTTTTCTTCATTTTTATCATTATCCTTATGACTATAATCACTAAAATAATCTTTGTTTAAATTTTTATTAAATATCTCTTTTATAAGTCTTAAATTCTCTTCAATGTAAATACTAAATGTATAAAGAAATTGAATTAACTTTATTAGTTTATTCACTAAGTTATTTAAAAAAGGAATTTCAACAATTTCTAGTCTTTTTATCCGATATAACAGTATGATTCTTCTATCAAAAAAAGGAGTAAGAAGCATCTAAATTATCAGATTTTTTTTTAAAAAAGAATTTAAGTTTTCATTAGGTTTCTTATAAATAGAGAAATAACAAAAAAGGTGATATGATATTGCTAAGTAAAAAGTTAAAATAAAATAGATTGCATTTATTAAAAATTTTAGCAAATCTTTCATCATAAACTTTTTTATGTTACAATGATTATAGTAAAGATTTATAATATCAAAATAAAAAACCACAATAGAATGTATAAAATAAATCCAAACTGAAGCAAATCAGAAATATTCTAATAATCTTTGGATTGCTTTCCATGATTTACAATTATATTCTTAATTGTTTAGTTCAAATCTATAATGATAATACCAAATAAAAACAATGGTTGCAAGAATTACCATGAAGAATAATATTATTAGAGCTATATATACCTTATCATTATTTACATTATATAAAATGATCAGTTTAGTAATAAAATACCAAAAAAAGATTAGAGAAAAGGAAGATAAGATGATAACCACATCATCAAAAAAAAAGGTTACTCTAATATCAAACTTGGATGTTGCACCAAAAATGGATATGTTAAATATAAAACTCATATAAGTAATCTGATGTCTTAGTTAAGAGAATGAACTATCATATAGTTTATAATCATTGCTAACATGTCTACAGATATCTGGTTGTTGAAACATTTGAGATAGAAAATTTTTAAGCTCAGTTGATTGTGTTACTGTTGTTCCTATTGATTATGCTATTGTAGAATTCAAAAAAAAAGCAAGATAATAATAAATTTTATTGAATTCTTAGAATAATTACTCTTTCTTGTAAGTAGTCATTGAAAGAGTAAAACTTGAAAAGAATGTAGTAATAATTAATACCAATTTCTGACAATTTGAGTCAAAATAACTTGGGACATTATAAAAAAAAAGATGATTCCAAAGAATTTATTATAGTAAGATTTGAGAAATACTTATATAACTTTTCACTATAATTCCAAAAAAAAATTTCAAGTATGTCTGTATATATTGTATATAGGATTACCTACATTGATCAAAGTATATATGAACTATTAATCATTAATTATACAATTGTGAGTTGCAAAACATCATTGTCAATCCAAATTAAGTATTCTAACATTGTTAGATATTATAAAATTCATCATTATCTATTTTATTTAAATTTAAAAGGAGTTTTATATAAGGGACAAAATTAATATTTAAATATTCTAAAAATTACATTAACATTATTAGATAATTTTTTTGTACTAAGCATAAAGAGAAATTTGGAATTAAGTTGTAGGTGCTTTGTGCACCTAGGTTTAATACAAATGAAATAAACTAAGGTAATGCTTAAAACAGATCAACTGAGTGCTGCTAAGAAAAATGAAGTTTTGAACTTTAAAATTTTATAATTTATAATTATTATTATTGAAATCATAATCATATGATATAGTTATAAATAAACTTTTATCAAATTGTTAAGTCAAATTAATAACTATATAATATCAAATTATCAACAATTGGCAATATCATATTATTTATAAGATATTGGTCATGAAACGATTAATATCATGAAATTGTATTTAGGCAAGACCAACTTGATTCTGTGTTTTACATTATCTTTCTTTCTTCTCCAGAAAAAGATAAAATTTAAAAAAATTTGTTTTCAAAAAAAATTTTTTTTTGAATTGTTCTATAACTGTATAAAAATTTTTAAAAATAGCCCATATTCCTATGTATATTTATCTAAATTTTTTTACTATAAGAGAGAGGGAGTAATGCTGAAGAGAGAGGAGAGAGTAACATAAACACAGAATCAAGTTGGTCTTATCTTATTATCACATAATATGTGATGTGCTGCATACAGTACTATACATACTGTACATACATACTGTACATACTGTATGCGAGAATTTTATCGATCATTTTATATATAGTCTGTTTTATATACTAATTAGCCAATCAAAATTAAGAAAAATTCTATTCTGACCTGAATAAAAAATCTTTTCCAGGATCATTGTAAAAAAGTTACTATCACATAACAGTTTAAAAATCTTTAAATTTGTTTAAGTTAGGGTTAGCATTTATAATAGAGCTAGGTTTTAAAAAAATAATAGTAAAATCACTTAAGAAATTTTTTTTGTTAGAGCACAAAAGGTGGTTTCTTATACAAGTTTTTGAGAAATAAGCGATTTTTGAAAAGCAACCGTTTTATTTTGATCTTTCTGATCATGTAACATTACATTAAAACAAAACTCGCTATTGGATGATCATCACATGAAAGTGAAAATTTGACAGCAATCCTGGGTAGTTCATGTAAAAGAACTACACTAGTATCGCCGTCAAATTTTCACTTTCACGTGATGATCATCCAATAGCGAGTTTCGTTTTAATGTAACGTTACACGATCAGGAAGATCAAAACAAAACGTTTGCTTTTCAAAAATCGCTTATTTCTCAAAAACTTGCATAAGAAACCACCTTTTGCGCTCTAACAAAACAATTCCTCGAGTGATTTTACTATTATTTTTCTAAAAGTCAGCCCTATTATAAACGCTAAACCTAACTTAACCGATTTTAAAACGCTGTCACGTGAAATTTTGATGGTGATACTGATAAAAGTGACCCATCACGTGGCTTTGTTCGTGTCATGTAACACAAACTACTATGAAGGCCAATCGGAGGAGATTTGGCCATTTCAAGAAGTTCACGTGACCTACTTGCTTCGAATCATCACATATAGAATTATAAAACAACTAATAAGGTTTAATAGATTGGAACTAAATTTTTGTTATAATTTACTTACCTTGGCTCCTAATAAAGTTGTCGATACGGTCATTGAGATTCTAAAGACATTAAAATCATTAAGATCTGCCTGGTAGGATGTGAGATATGTTTAAAAAAAGATCCACGATTCTTTAAATCTTTTTAAAGAAATTTTAAAGAATTGTGAATCTTTGTTCGCAAATATCTCACAATCTAACGAGCCAATTTTAATGGTTGTATCATCATTAGAATTGTAATCAACTCTCCTACAACGTTTATGAGAAGTCAAGTAAGTGTATCATAATTAAAAGGATCGTTCCGGCCGATTAAAACTTAAAATTTGTTAATAATTTTACCTGCAATTTAATTGGCCGCTTCTAAGTGATGAGGTCACGTGACTTTATTGAAATGGTCACTTCATTAAATATACTATATGTACTGTACATACTGCACGTACTGTACGTACTGTACGCGAAAAAAATTGGGCTATCATATAAACGGCACATCGGTGCTATCGTGCATTTATGATCATGATTTACAAGTTGTGGTTAACTGAGTTTTAAATTCGGGATTGTTGTGCTTATGTAATAACGTACAAAAAATAACGACCAAACTTTGACGCTGCGTAATTAAGGATAATGAATGTTGCATTTAAAGGTCAAGTAGTACATTTAGTATTAGGGGGCGCACCTAGAGATGTTTTTCTAATTTTAGTAATAACCGATCGGCTGGGCACATGAAAATATATACACGTACGGACCTGGTACTGCATTCACTTACGTATTTTTGTGGGTAATCTATACAAACACCTAAAAGGCAATAGTCAATTTTTGATCAACACGTACGAAAGAAGAAAAAGAGCAAGAAAGCAAAAACACTCGAAAACTAATGTTTAAATCGACCTTGATGCACTAATTAAAATGATTTTACATATATGATTGTTACTTTATTCCTTCATTCCCAAGTTAATGCCCTAATCTTCAATTTCTGGTTACGTACTCCTTTTAGGGTTTGTATTACCCGCCAAATTAAGTAAATCACCCGGTATGTACGAATAACTTTTTCTTGGGCACGAAATATACGTACATACCTACGAATAACAATAAATCAATCTATCAATCTTTTTCCTTTTGAACAATTATTTACATGAACTAAAGAGATAATGTCGTGTCGTGTATGTTATGTGCGTTTACGGAAGTTTTTTTCTGTACAATAATTAACACAAACAAAAGAATAATTTACACGAACTAAATAATGGCGTGATATATGAAGTAGAAATGTTGTATAAAGGAAACAAATTTTTTTTAAACTGTACCTTTAATCCCTTTTCCCTTTTCCCTTTTTACTAATTCCCCTTCATTAATTTTTCTTTTGAAATAATACTTTCATTTCAAATTCATCTTCTAAATTGTATAATCAATTTAGATTTCCCCTTTCTTCATCTCAGATTCGTTTTTTAACTATACCTTTATCCATATAATTCGCTATTATTTCACTATACAAAATTACAAATGCATATTAAACTGTTCAACTTTTTTATTTTTCTTACTGTTCTTAGCGGTAAAGTTCTTTCCACACCATTGTATATCACACCATCATTGTATAGTTAACTGAAGTTTCATCATTTTCACTTGTTATTTAGTCATATCACTTGGAGTAAATGGTGGTAAAATTACCAAATGTCCACACGGTGTGCGTATTTATAACTTCTATTTTTTTTGATATGATTAACATTCTTTTCTAACTCTTAAATAATCATATTTTCAGTCTCAACGTATAAACGGAGAATGCTGCCCTTCTAACCTTGTGTGTGGTACATCCTGTGTATGTATTTCTAATATATATATATATATATTTATATATTAACTAACCTCGAATGATTTTATTTGCAGTGTCCTAATAACTATAAATGCCTAGATGAAACATGCTGCCCCTCTAAACTTGCGTGTGGTACATCTTGTGTATGTATCCCTAATTTTTTATTTTATTTTATCTTTTAGAATATTAACTGATCTCAAATGATTTTATATTACAGTGTGAAAATGGTCAACTGTGTGTAAAAGGACAATGCTGTGATAAAGCTAAAAAATGTTGCGATGAATGTGTACGTATTTATGTTTTTTTTTCCCACCTCTTGGCTTTGTTTTCCTAACTTTAAATTATTATATTATAGTGTGCTGATGGACAGACTTGTTGTAATAAGAAATGCATTGATACCGATTCTGATCCAAAGAATTGCGGATCTTGTAACAACGCTGTGTGTATTAGTCATTTTAATTTTTTTTTTTTTGACAAAAATTTTCTTCTTTTTTTTTAACTTATACATTTGTAGTGTGCTGTTGGACAGACTTGTTGTAGTGGGAAATGCATTGATACCAATACTGATGCAGCGCATTGCGGATCTTGTAACAACACTGTGTGTATTAGTCATGTTAATTTTTTTTTTGACGAAAATTTTCTTCTTTTTTTTTAACTTAACCATTTGTAGTGTATTGTTGGACAAACTTGTCAAACCGGGAAATGTGGCAGTCCCGGTTGTACTGCTGATTCGCAATGTCTCAGTGGTCAATTGCATAACGCGACCGCGGTGCTTCCTGCTCAGGGCAAATGTATTAGCAGTGTCTGCTATCTTTGCCTTAGTTCATGTGTGGGTAAACCAGTTTGTAATTCAATTATTGAAACTGGTATAAGCTGTGTTCTTCAATGTGGAAATCCCGATGTACAATGCACATGTTGCGCACCTGGTACTATGGCAACGGTACCATTGTAAAGTAAAAGATCATGGCAAAGCAATTTTCAATATTGAATGTGACTAGTGACATAGTTTCGCTTGCAGAAGTGGTTAAATTTTTATTACTAATCTTTGACTAGACTTATTACCTTTACCTAGACTTATTACCTTTATCTAGATTTATACTATTTTTACCTTGCAATTGGCGCTTAATAGTTATAAACATAGTATTATCTAGTTCTTTAGAATGTTCTTTACTTATATGCATTTGGTTGTTCAATAAGTTTCTGTTCGTTATGCTCAAACTTTTATTTATTTATTTAGTTTGAGTATTGCTCCATAATAAAGAAATTTTATTGAAATTAATATTTTTATGTTTTATCAGTTGACAATTATTATTTAAGCAATCACTTGCATTAAGTAAGCAATGCTTTTAGATGCTTTAAATATCTGCGTTAGAGTTGGAATCTATCATGGCTATTTAATGAATTTTACGGATTTTAGTCATTTGCGAATGCTACTGATTAAATATATAGATTTATACGGATATTCATTGAATTTGCGGATATTCCGAGAAATTGCAAATATTATTGCACTTGGCAAAAAAAGGTGTGACCCCAGCAGATCATGATGCCATGTAAAATCGCGAGAAATTAGGCAATTTTTCGATTGTAAGAGAATTTTACAGGTTGCCAAATATATGTTATACATTATAGAGATACATTTTAGAAATACGTTGTAGGAATACGTTATAAAATATAACTGATCGAAATATGATTAATAGACCATTTAGAATTTCAGAGATTTTCCTCGACCATTCACCACAAAAATCATAGGGTCACTCTTTTTTTGCAAACCGTAATAATAGAGAATTCACGGGTATTCATAAAGAATTCGCGAATATTTAGAGAATCTGGGTTTGGGTCAAAATCTCGACAAACGAAATCCCGACAGGTCATAATCATGACACGACAAAAAAATCCCAACAGCAAAAATCCGACAGTTAAAAATACCGACAATTAAAAATTCTTATGAAAAATAAGCTAACCCTAGCCTAACTCTTATCTAAAGTGACCTAACCCTAAAGTTAATTAACTTATAAGAGGCTACTTAGCTTTAAACATACCCCATATTCTGGATTTTCTATTTGAAAATTCTGACTGTCGGGATTAGAGTTTGGAACCGGGTTTATTTTCATATATTTAAACCGATTAAAACCGGTTTTAACATATGAAAAACAAAACCGGTTCCAAACTCTAGTCGGGATTGTCGGGATTTTGACTGTCGGGATTATGACCTGTCTGGATTGTGCTTGTCTGGATTTTGACTGGCACCCAGAGAATCTTACATGATTACGTTTCTCATTTTCATCAAATATTTACACAAAATATTTTACACAGAAGTTTACAAGAACAATCCTTCTTTTGAATTTCTTAGAAGGTGCTAAGCCAGTAAAGAAAGATGAATTAGGAGTTAGGAATATACATGCTAATGAAATTATTTTGGTGTCTATCTAAAACTCAAAATTAAAATTTGAAGATGAAATTGTTTTTGACCTATTTTACTTAAAAAACAAAATTTTTTGACATTTTTTTTGAAGAGACAAAATTATAAGGAATATAACTACCTAAATTAGATTTGCTCTTGCATATAAAAAATTATAATTTGCTCTAATGGAAACAAAATAGAGTTTTTTTGAAAACCTATTTTAGTGGCATGTATAGTTAGAAAGTGTCAATTAAATAAAGAAAAGCTTCAGTCAATAATTAAATTATATTTTGATTATATTATAGTTTACATCAATCTTTTTATTGAGAATTTTTAACAAAGGAGTTTTCAAAAAGAAATATTAGCTATTACTCTTATTATAATGCAAACAACCAGCATCTTATTTGATTACAAAGTTGTTAAAAAATCTTAAAATGCAGCATAAAATATTCATTATTTCAAATTTGATAGACATAATTTTTTATATATAAAATACATATTAAAAATAAAAAAACTCCTCTGTCATAAATATGGTTTGGGTTACAAATTATAAATTTGAAAAAAATTTTTTATTTAATAATTTTTGTTAAGTTATAACATTTTTAAAAATTCTATTAAAATTAGATATTTTATACTATTGGTTCTGTTAGTCTATATTGTATTAAATTTATAATAAGACTAATAAAATTCTTATTATCTAATAGTTTGGTTAAAGTTTTAAAAAATTCAAAAATACTTAAATTTACTAATAGATAGAACAGAGTTCTTCTAGCTAGTGCTCTGATTGGGTTGACCTGAATGACCTGAAACCAACCTGGTTATAATGAATTTACTATATGAGTTATGACCTGAAACCAACCTGGTTATAATGAATTTACTATATAGGTCATGACCTGAAACCAACCTGATTATAATAAATTTACTATATGGGTCATGACCCATCTAATAAATTTATTATAACTAGGTTTGTTTCAGGTCATTCGGGTCAACCCGATTGGAGCATTAACTCTAGTCATAGAGAAAATGAAAAAGCAAAATCAACCTATCTACTGTTTTAATATATTTTTTTTGTAATGCATTTGTATATATACAAAAATTTTAATTGATCATATTAATGGTATCTTTTTTGTTTGCTTCACTCATTGTGTTAATGGTACCTTTTTTGTTTGCTTCACTCATCATGTTAATGGCATAGTCATTACAGTTCCTATAACATTTTGTTTTTATTTATTTAATACATATAAGAAAATTGTATAATTGAAAATTTTAGACAATATATATATTTATATTTTTCTTATTTTTTTTATACTTAAAACAAGCTCTTTTTATTATTTTATTTTAATTACATCAATTTGTTATTATTACATAATATACTTCACCTGACTATGCTTATACTCACATATACTTTTAATGATTAATTATTATTATGAGTAAACTTTACGCTAAATGCAATTCATGTTTATATTTTTGATTGAATTGTTAAATAAATCTATAGACCATTATGATAAGAGTTTTGATTTAATTGGTCAATAATCATGTACTGTTGTATGTATGTACTTAATTATACAATTTTATTATTATATTGCAACAAACAATATCTATCTGAGTTTAATATTGTCATGATCTATTTCATTTTTATTTATGGCTCTTATATAATAAGCAGCTTATTTAAATTAATCGAATATCCACAATATAATCTAATAATATAAGGCCACCACTTCACCATGAATGGTGATGTAAAAATAATGGCTGGCTAAATCAAATAATAGAAAATTAATACAATGAACATTTTATCTGAGTTTATGGCAAAGGTATCTGTGAAAACCAAGCAGATTATATTCATATAGCAGCCATAGATCCTGGAGTTCATACTTTTCTTACTTGGTATTTACTAACTATTGGATATAGAAATTTTGGAGATAATGGTAATTAATATCTAAAATAAAGGAATTTGGCAAAGTTGTAATAACATCTGTTTTGAAAACATGTACAAGTAAAATATGTAGCAGTTATGGTTATATTAAAAAGAATTTAGGATAAAATAAAGTGTTAAGGTGTAATAAATATGAACTTCAAACTAATAGAGACTTAAATAGTACTAGAGGGATTTTTTCAGGCTTTGCTTGATGGGCCATAGTCATGCAAACATAGCTGTGCTAATTGATTGATTATATATAGTTAATAGTTTTAATTATGTAATTGGTCAATTTAATCTATCTGATTTGAAAATTTACCTTCAATCAAAAAATTTAAATTCTTCATGCAATTCACATATTGAACTTAATGTTTAAACATTAATATGTAGTTTAATAAAATAAGTAAAATAGTTAACTGCATGTTTAAAATTGTGATTTTCTAAATACAAAAAAAATATTTAAATTCAAAAAATTTATAAATTCATTTGTTATATACAAGTAAAATCCTTTAGTTTTTAAATATAAATTATATTTTGTTATTTTAATTACAAATTAGTATGTAGTTTATTATTTTCAATTTTTTTACTAGAAATTGCAGATATATTATTACATAACTATGTGGCCCAAAAATTTTATTCTCCTACAGCATCCAGAGACTGTTGGAGAATAAACTGAATTTAAAAAAGTTATTAAAATTGATGTTTACAGCTAAATTTTTAACTAGCTTTTGTAACAACTTTTTCTTATTTGATAGTACAGATGATAGTAACTTATTAATAAATTTTTTTTTTATTAGTGATAATAGTAAAAACATATAACTTAAATTGCAAATCTTTTGATATGTTTTAATATAACATTCTTTATATAATGAGCTCAGATTTTCTGATGCTTTACTATAAAATTTAAATATATAAAAAAGTATTCTACTAAGATTTAATCGATATTTACAATTTTGTATATAATATAAAAAAGTTACATCTTTGATGCATTCATTATCAAAAAATTAAAAAAGTAATATTGAACTTTTTGTCATGCATGTGACAGAAAGTTCAAGTTACTATTACTAGAATTTATTAGTAGAACACGCTTCTCACTGAGATATAATTAAATTTATTCTTCTAGTTCTTTGACGCTATGATATCAAATAATCTCAGATAAAAATTTTTTGATAAAATATTTCCATACTAATTAAGGGCCTGTGTGGAACCTTTATGTCAAGATGATTAAAAATTTCTAATATTTTATAATTTATTTAATGTTTTAAAATTTATAATGGTAATTCTAAAAATTTTGCAAAATTTTTTATGCTGTTCAAAAATTTTATTTATTAAAATATCAGATCATAATAAAATTTTGGTTCTAATTATTCAATTAGTAAATGTAATTCTTGGTCAATATTACCAGCTTTGCAGTCAATTTTTAATTCAGTTTTTGATACTTTATAGAAGATACAATTGTTATTGCATGTGAGTTTTGAAGTATTCTAGTATATAATAAGTCACATATGGTAGTATATAATTCATAAATTTTAATAATTTTAAGAATTTTATCCAAAACTCTATTCTAATGAAAAATAAGATAAAATAAAAATAAAATTGTTATAAGGTCAATAGATATTTTATTTTATAAATTACCCTTAGATATGACCAAAGCTTTTTAATCAAGTTATGAATATAGTCTTGGAAGCTTTTACTTTTTCTATATAGAACTATCAGAGAACACCACAAGCTTACAACATATATTCGGGAAGAAGGTTTTATTTAAAACATATATACAGTATTCAAAATGGTTTCTGATCAATATAAATGATTATAAATTTTTGAATTTAAATCTTAGAAATTTGTGAATAATTTACTATCATAGAAATGAATGGCAAATAGTTTTATGGTTTGAATGATATCATATATTCCTTTATCGATCTTTGCATTGCAAAGTTTAAAAATTTGAAATACAAAGATCAAGAATATCTTTCATGCATCAGAAAAGTTTGCATTTATCTTTATAACACTTGTCAAGAAGAGGCTCAAAAGGTTTTTTGGAAAATTCATCTACAAATACTTGCTATTTTTCTTCAAATAATCTTGCCACATCATATCAAAATTGATCTTATGGCCTTGCCTTTCTTCCTGTATTTAATTAAATTTATCAATAATTACATTTTATAAATTAAATTTAATTATTACTTACATTATTTTTTTTAACGATATTCATATATGCTTTAGAAGCATTGGAGTAATGTTCAGTCCTAAAGTGATTCTTTAAAAATTTAACACTATATTATTATAATTATTTGCAATTTTTTATTTTCAGAAACATAACAGGAAATTTTTATATTAGGAACCAAATCTAGTAGTAGTTCAAAAAAAATAGATAAAACCTTTATTGTTCATGTATTTTCATTAATAGTGAGAAGGCAAGAAAAATTATAAATCTTTTTGAATAATAAAAATGCTAATACAGATAATTTGTAATGCTGAAAACTAATCTGTAACTGACAAAAGGCCAATGAAGAATATATTAAAAGTCAATAATATATGTTCCTTCTGATTTGCCTTTTGTTTTTGTTAATAATCCTATTCCGGTAAGAATTTTAACTGATATATAATAATAAAAATAATTTGTAATAATAATAATAATAATAATAAAACAAATTTAATTAATACCAGGGGATACACATATCCTACCCCAAACCCCTGCACTTCAATTCAAATATTTGGGTATGACAAATAATAAGTGACGAATAATTGAATGACGAATAATTGAATGATAAATAAGAGTTAACTATATATCATATACAGTATATAGTAGCCAATTCTTATTTGTCAAGCTCTTATTCGTCACACAAAATATTAGTCACTCTCAATTTCAAGTTCAAAGAAATTCAAATTTTGTGAAGTACTAACTATATACAACTCAATAAATATTAAAAAAAGAATAACGATTCGCTTCAGCTGTCACCTCCACTATGCTTTTTAACCAAAACATCAGCCTATTAGCTTTTATTAGGTCTTTACCCTAATCCTAAATACAAATGCTTTAAGACTATAATAGTTTCGCAGTTAACAGTTATACAGATAGTGGTGAAGGAAAAGATTTATCACTACTAGATGGCATACCATATGCTTCTGTACTAGTATTAAGAGATGGGCTTACTCTGAGAATCTTGACACTGATGTATGTATTCCGTTCCGAAATCTGTATTAACTTTTCATATTATTAGTTTAGTAAATGTTTTTTTAAAAAAAAATTGTAACTGTACAAATCTTTGTACTCTATTATAAACTGGCATTTTCTAAGCCAATATAGGTTTGTATTGATATGTTGATGATAAAGTTGATAATTCTACATATATGTTTACACTTTAGTTAGTTTTATACAACATATTATGAAAAAAATTCACAACTTACTTTTTTAGGCTTAATATAGTATCAAACACAGCTTTCTTATAAGATTAATAGGTTTTGTACTTTTAAATAAGAAAAAAATTACTTCAAAAGATTTAATACGCATTCTTAATTCTGAATATCGATATACATTTGCACCTGCATTACATGAATTATTATTATGCACATACTGCACCTGTGAAACATTCATCTCACGATTATCAGAACTTAATCTTGGTTTGTTAACTGAATGCACTTTTAATTTTTCCGAAATTAGCCAAAATCTGATAATTTGTGTCAATATTATTGTTCACATGTCCTTATCATAGTGTCAAAAGACTGATTTTTTAAGAGTTTAGTCAGTTTTAAATAACAATTTTAATAACCATAGTTAGATTTACTTTTTCCCTTTATTATAATTCCTATTTATGAAGTATTTACTTTGTGATTCGTGAGAAAATTCATTATAAATTTATAAACCTATCACAAGCACCTTTGAAAATTTTATCTTAATTATGCTTCACATGCTACAATTTTTGACCACTTCTATGTTATTTTATATACTATAAAAAAATTATAGAAAAATGAGACGAATTATAATCCATCTGATTAGGATACTTTAATTAATTTATTCATAAAAGCGAAAAACATAATGAAGTTTGACGCTTTCTGCATATTTAATTTACTTGTTCCTTTTATTTAATGTTATAAATACACATTATCAATTATAAGCACCTCCATCAAGAGGTTTCGAAGATTCATTGAAGCCAAATCCTTCTTGTGGTGGTTTTAATACAGTTAATTCCTCTCTTATTACTAATTTTCCTATTTGTATGTGAAATGAGGAACTATTGAATTATACTATTTTAATTTTAACATTCAAATTAAGTTCCAATCATTAATGATATCTTTATTATTCAATATACAGCACAAGGTATTGCCACAGCTAACTTCTTTGATGGAGATGAAACTCTTTATTTTTATTTCGGGTCCAACATTAATTTTACTTTTATTAGCGTTTCAGGTAATTAAATCAATATACATACTTATCATTTATTAAAACTTTATCTCAATCACTCATTTACTTTATCATAATTAACAAAGACGCTCAAAAACTTGTAATTCCTAACAATGGTCAATAAGTGCATATGCCAGTTAACCTATCAAAAGCCAATGCGGTTATAGGTTCTCAAGACATTCTTCAATCTGTTTTTAATCTGTCTACTGGTATTGGTGCTTGGTACCAATGCGCTGATATTAAAGTAACTGGTGATACTCAATCAAATGCTAATAATACTCAATCAAGTCTAATAATACTCAATCAAGTATTAATAATGCTCAATCAAGCACTAATATCATTAATGCTTTACCAAACATCAATGTATTTGTTCTCTTAGTCTGGTTTTTTTACATATTTCATCTTTTTAAACAAAATTTGAAGATTCTTAAACACTAAATTAAGTTCTCATAAATTTATTTCATATTGTTTGCTTTAACATGCATAGATACTAATATTTTAAATAAAGAAAACTACAGTAGATATGAAATTACGTGCCATGTTCTGATTTTATTCGAGAATAATATATGTATTTGACGAAATATCATTTAATCTAATTATTCATTTTTATATCTAATGCGTTATCTATATTTCATGTGGAAATGTAATATTGGCATTATTTTTTCATTTATGTTCTCATTTAAAAAATTAAATTTTTTCTCTTCTTTTTTTTTTTTTATGAAATAAAAGATTTATTTCTTTGATTAGAATTTTTTTATATATCTTTAGACAAGTAAAATTATAGAAAAATTATCAGGATCAATATAGTAACTCTGTTTAAAGATTTAAGAACAAGGGAATATAATTTAACATACCCATCATCAATTATAGTATGATTCTTTCAGGAATAAAACCATCAATTTTGATGACGAATAAAGTGAACAAATTCTTAATATCCGAATGACAAGCACCCAATATTAGATAAGTACATTAATAGACTTTTATCTATATTCTAAATGCACAAAAATTATATATAAAAACCAAAAAAAAGCGATGGCTCACATTAATCCATCCATAACAGTGAACAAATTAACCTCTGTGACAAACCCATACATCCCAACCACAGAAAGTGATAATCCGAAATAGATCAAAAATATCAAGATGTTAAAGGTCATTTCACCTATGCCCAATTTAGATAGTTGATTTGATTTTAATTGAATAGACTCTGATCGAAATGAACTATCATGTCTCAATTGTTTAAATATAAACCATAGCAGTCTAACTCTGGAACTTGCAAGGTTAATTATGGATGTAAAAAATGCAACAAAAAGAACCCTCTCATATTCAAATTCGAGAGAAAAGAAACCAGATTGCAAGATTGCAGTGATGGACAGAATTAAAAATAATAATGTTTCCAATGTTCTAAGGAATACAATAACTTTTCTTATCTTTGTTATCAAAATAGACATCGACAATGCACATGAATTCAAATAGAATATTTTACAGAGAATATTCAAAATAAAGATAAATTAATCTGGTTATAAAAGCATAGAAAATATTTTTATATTTAATAAATAGTATGTAATAACATTGATAATTGTTGTTGACTAAATATTTAAGTAGACATCTTCAAATAAGTAATTATTATATACTAAAAATTTTGCTTTTAAAACTGTAATTATATACTCAAAATTAGAAATAATATGTGTATGTATATTATAAACATAATTAACTTTCATCTAAACTATAAGGTAATTTGATTTTTTTGTCTTTCATAAAACATTGTTATCTACGTGTTCTGTATTACATAAATAATGTTACTTGACGAAATTGAATAACTTAATCTGATTGGTTATATAAACTAACATGTGATTATAATTCATGGGCTGAAATTCGTCTGATTTCTGAAGCAAATCAATTGCCCTGATAATTTATTTATACATTTTAAAATACTTTTACTTTTTAAGAACGCAAAATTACAAATACATTTCGAGCTTCAAAAGAGTGCCAAAAAGTTAACTCTAAATTTAATCTCTTATAATGCTTATAATGTCTCATTTAGAGAAATTAGCTTAGACATAACTTTTCGAAATAAGTAAAGAAAAAAAGCTTTGTCTTAATTTTAAAGTGTACTAAAAAACAGTTACTAACAAAACAACAGGCTTTTTTTTTAAGATTGAGATTTAAGGTTAGATATTTGAAGCAAGAAAAACTTGTTCGCCAAGCTTGTTCACATGAAAGATCTTTGGTTTTATATTTAAGATATTCTTAAGTCGCTTGGTTAAAGCGCACTTGGTTGGATATATTATTATCCAATAAAATTTAAGATTTAAATCAGGTAGGATACACCTAGTGATGTGCCATTTATATGATACCCGAATTTTTTTAGCATACAGTCCCTTCTCTAATGTGATGTATGAACATATAGATCAGAAAATTATTGTTACAACTGACCTGGTCACAGGAGGTGTTCAGTAAAATAAAACATATGATTATGTCACTAGATACCTGGAAAAGGTTATGTTAACCCTGATCTCCAAATTAATTATTAAAAAAAATATTATATCAATATAAATTCTTTATTAATAACTTTTTGAACATTTCAAATTAAACTAATTTCGGATAAAAATAATCTGAATTGAAGATTTGCAGGCTCTTTACTAAGTTTGAATAATATTTGTTTACATATAATGCTGTAACAAAAATAATATTGAAATAAAATCTACAAAAACTGCTTTAGAAAATTTTATTTGCAATTATAGAAAAGCTCACAATATATTAACAGAAAAATTACTTCATTATAAGTATGCAAATAATTCACGATTCTTTAATAAGACAAATTCCAGTTCAAGTAGTTTCTGTATTATGAATAAAAAAGACATTTCACAACAGCAGAATTACAAATACACACACAAAAAAAAAAGATCATTAAAGATTGCAAAATGTCAATAGTTTTATTTCTTTAAGCTATATTTCTACATTTCTATATTTCTGTATTTTAAAGCAAATAAAAGCTAGATGGTTTAATTATATTCTGTGAAAATTTGATGTTTTCTTAGCTTGGTATACTATTAATATCAATACAATGAGTTGACACTAGATAACTGCATAACATAAGGATTTTACTGATATGTGATCTTCACTCAGAGTTCCGTTAGTGATAAAATTTTAGGGTTAAAGTATTACTTATTAAAATATAGGCAAAATCATGCTTCTATCAGCATCTAATGTTGGTTTAAACACAAACTCATATACCAATATGCATATCCAAAATTCATTTTTGTAACAAACATAATGATTAGAAAAAGTTATTAAAATAAAAATTGAATTTTTAAATGAGTTCAATAATTTTTACTTGAAGAAAAACAAAGAAAAAATGTATTTTGAAACTGATAATGCAAATGATTATTGTTCTACTAAATTTAATGAATCAAATAAATTGAACAGATATAAATGTATTAATCTTAATGACAGAACATTTAGTTATTCTTATGTTCTTCTACCAAATGGTCAATAGTCTTTTATGGATATCAAAGTTTCTGTAACTGATAAAATGAATTTCGATACATTTATTAATAATAATCATTTTGTTGAAGGAGAGATTTTAAAGAATGTAACTGTTAATAGAATGACTTATATCAAAGAAAAAATAAATAATTTAAATAAAAATAATGTTAAAAAAAGAAATTACTGATGAATCTTCTAATAAAAAAATAAATGAACATATTGAAACATCAAAGAATGAAAATGTAAATAATAAAAATAAAGTTAAAAAACTCAAAAGAAAGCTTAATGAATGTTATAAAATGATTGATAAAAAGAGTGATAATGTAAAAGATCTTAAAGATGAAATTAGTCAAAGAAATAATGAAATTCGAAAATTGAAGAATGAAATATACCTGTTAAATA